TATCTCTTTGAAAATAAATATCTTTTTTTTTTTTTTTTTTTTTTGGGGACGGAGTTTCGCTCTTGTTACCCAGGCTGGAGTGCAATGGCGCAATCTCGGCTCACTGCAACCTCTGCCTCCTGGGTTCAGGCAATTCTCCTGCCTCAGCCTCCTGAGTAGCTGGGATTACAGGCACGCGCCACCATGCCCAGCTAATTTTTTGTAGTTTTAGTAGAGACGGGGTTTCACCGTGTTGACCAGGATGGTCTCTATCTCTTGACCTCGTGATCCACCCGCCTCGGCCTCCCAAAGTGCTGGGATTACAGGCTTGAGCCACCGCGCCCGGCCTGAAAATAAATATCTTAAATGATCTGAGGCACATTGGAGAAGAAAGGTACTTTGGTTTTCTTCAGAAAACTAACAATGAAGAATGCATGTTATTTTGTTTTCTTCAACCTCAGATTCCGTATCTATAAAACAATGTATTTGAAATACAGGATGTCTGAGTTCCCATCCATCCCTCACGGGTTATGATTTTGTGAAGAGTATTGGTCAGCACAAGATGACAAAATTTCAGACATTTACTTCAGAACTTTGAGAATGCCATTTAGTTCAAAATCCAGCATGTATGTAATTATACCTTTAACATTGCATTCAGTTTTCTTTTTGTCCTTTGTGTGAAAAACCCCACCTGAATGAGGTCTCCCTTATTCAAAGATATCAAAAACTGGATTTTTTTAAAAGAATTCCTTGTCTCTAACTAATCTGTGTCCTATTTCCTCTCTCTCATTAAACAAAAATGCCTAAAATGCTTTAATTTTTTTCTTAATTTGGGCCTAACTTTAAATGTAACATGGGGCAAGACAATTAATTATATTAAAATAAACTTTTAAAATGTATTTAAGGAAAAGAGGGAATCTTACTACCGTTTGCAGCTAATCAGCTCTTCTTATTAAATATTCAGAAGTTGTACTTTGCATAGGATATCACAGAAACCTGCTGTCAAAGCCTTTCAGGGAAATCTTTACGCCCTCTCCACAGAGAAAAACCAAAATCAGTAAATCATGAAATATCAACAACAGTATTCACTATGAAAAATAATCAGCATAATGCCCTTACATCTCTTAACAATTGCATATTTAAGGGGAAAATGTAGAGAAAGAGGCATTGCCAATACAGAAAGCTAGCCATAAATAAAACCATTGAAGAATAGTGGAAATGTATTTGGCAGGAAGAGGAACTAAAGATTTGCTCTTTTGTGTTTTATGTTGGCAGAAATAACCATGTGGTTAGTTTTGAAAATTACATTTTATTAATTTAGGATTAAGCCTTCTGTAAAGTGGCTATATATAATATGTGAAAAGATTTTCTGATATTCCGAGAAAACCTTAATTTGAAAAATTGAAACCTAAGAGATTTAATTACAGAAGGTATAAATATAAAATTTTTATCTTAAAAAATTTTGTATTAAAAGTGCTTGTAAGATTTGGTTATTTCATCAAATTTCTAAACCATAAAAATCTACTTTAAAAATTACTATCAACTGTGATCTTAATATGCATTGACAGTCAACATTTATATATTTGAATATATCTTTTATTTTTCTCCTAATGAGAGGAGGAAGAAAAAAAAATGACCATCTTTCAGGTCTGTTCACTTTAGCATGTATGTGTTCATAGCATGTCATGTGTTTGCTTTAGCTTATTTTACAAAATAGGATAAGATGCTTAAATAATAATTTATCCTGAATTCTTACTTGATCATATTTTACTATTTCAACTTGCCATTTTTTTCAGCAGCATAATTTTGAGTTTCCAATATGCTGTTATAAAAAATAAGTCAATATTTTTCCTTCAATGGGCAATTCATGAAAGCACTTCATTATTTCCATTTTTTGTATTAGTCGGATAGAGTGTATGGACTTTATGGAGGTTATTGATGCATATTGCCATCTTGTTATTAACAGTGCTTGGACCAATTTAATTTTCAACCAGCCTTGCTGAGAAAAACTACCATCAAACAATTGCAATCATGGCATATGATCAGTAAGAGAAACATTTGAAAATCTGATGCTACAAATAATATGCTTTATTACAAAAATAACTGTTAAAACACATTTCACTAATAACTGATAGATTCTGGGATATTTAACATTTTTTACTTTTAAAATGCTTACTAGGCTTCATATTATTAATTTGGAGATGAAGATAAGTAAAATCAATTACATTGTAATGTTTCTGAAAATTTGCATTAACTTTAATTGTTTGCATGCCAGCATTAATTATTAAAATCTCAAGCCAGGAATGTAATAATTCCTGAGTGTATCATCCAGAAAATATTAGGGTTTTTTCAATGGGGATATAGTGGTTTCAACTTTAGAAAGCTTTAATTTTAGCTTTCATATTATGTCTCCATTTTCAAGTGCTGCACCAGGGTTGTAAATAAACTATAGAGACATCTAAATAGAGAATGAAATTTGTGAACTCTTATACTTACACTGATTTGACAATATCTGGAATAAACTTGGCTAGGTCATTTAACCCATTTGAGCCCTGTTTCCAGTTTTACTGCAGAATTACTGGAATTCTCTCACAAAGCTTATTCATAACAAATTAACTCTCAAAGTCAATAAAACACCCTTTTTAAACAATTATATTTACAATATCATCAAAAAGAATAAAATACTGAGGTATTTATTTAACTAGAGTCATATAAAACTTGTAAAATAAAAACTAAAAAAAATCAGAAAGAAATTAATTAAAGCACAAATAAATGGAAATAAATCTCATGTTCATTGACTGAAAGGCTTAATATTGTTAAGATGGCAATACTATCCCCAAACAAACTACAGATTTTATACTTTACCAAAATCACAACTTTTTGTAGAAATAAAAATATCTTTTTTAAATCATTCTAAAGTTTGTTAGAATTCTCAAAGAACCCTAAATAGCCCAAAGAAACATGAAAAAGAAGAGCAAAGCTGGAAGATTCACTCTCTGATTTCTACCCTTATTACAGAGCTACAGTAATCAAAATAGTGTGCTATAGGCATAAAGAAAAGAATATAAAGGCAGACAGAAGCATGTCCTTGCATTTATCATCAAATTATCTTCAACAAAGTTGCCAAGACAATTAAATGGGGAAAAAGATTGCCTTTTTAATAAATGGACTTGGAAAAATTGGATATCCAAATGCAAAAAAATAAAGTTAGACTTTGCTAACACCACAGGAATGAATACAAATTGGATCAAAGACCCAAATTTCACAGTTAAAACTATAAAGCCCTTAGAAGTAAATATAGCCAAAATTGTTATGATATTAGATTTGTAATTATTTCTAAGATATTATACCAAAAGCATGAGCAATAAACACAAAAATAGACAAACTACTTCATAAAAAAAATAAAAGAAAGAAAAGAAAGTGCATCAAAAGACAGTATCAACAAAATAAAAAGGCAACTCACAGAATGGGAGAAAATATAAATTACATATTTTATTGGGGTCAATGACCAGAATATATAGATAACTTTTTAAACTCAACAGCAATGATGATGATAATAACAATAACAACAACAAAACAACTTTATTAAAAAATAGCCAGAGGACTTGAATAGTCATTTCTTCAAAGCAGATATTCAAATTTTCAGTAAGCAAATGAAAAGATATTCAATATCACTAATGATTGGAGAAATACAAATAAAACCACAGTGAGATCCCACTTCATACCAAATAGGATGGCTATAATTAAAAAAGAAAAAAAATAACAATTTGGTGAGGGTGTGGAGAAATAGGAAACCAGGTACCCTGCTGAAAGGAATGTAAAATAGTACAGTGTGTACATAAATCATTAAGGTTGTTCCTCAAAAATTAAATATAACTTACTGTAGGATGCAACAATCCCACTTCTAGGTATACACCCAAAATAGTTCAATTAACAGACATAAACAAACATCTATATACCCATGTTTATAGTAGTAGTATTTAAAACTGATCAAAGAGGAAGCAACACGAGTTCATCAATAGATAAATGTATAAACAAAATATTATATACACATAGAATAAGAGGTGATTCAAATTTGAATAAAAAACAAAATTTTGACCTATGCTACAACACAGATGAATATTGAAAACATTGTGCTAAGTAAAATAAACCAGTTACAAAAGGACAACATTGTATGACTCCACTTATATAAGGTATTTTATGTAGGTTTTCATCTAGTTTACATAAGTGGAAGCTTACCTTATATAAGTGAAATTTTATATAAGGTACCTTATATAAAGCTTCTGCTTTCAATAATTTTCCATTTATATAAAGTTCTTACCTTAAATAAGTTTCCATTTATATAAGGTACCTTACATAGATTTTCTACCTTATTTAAGGCTCTACTTATATAAGAAAGAGGAATCAAATCCAAAGATACAGAAAGTAGAATTGCGGTTGCCAGGGGCTGATGGGAGTAAGGAATGGGAGTTATTGTTTAAGGAATACAGAGGTTCAGTTTCACAAGATGAAAAGTTCTGGAGACAGATGGTTGTGATGGTTTCACAACAATATAGGTGTGCAGCTGACCCTTGAACAACATGAGTTTGAACTCCATGGGTCCACTTATACACACATTTTTTCAATAAATAATTTACCCTTCATATTGAAGCCTTCTGCATCCATAAGTAAATGCAGATATAGAGGGATGATTGTACTTCATGTCAGTGAACTGTATATCTAGCAATGGATAAAATAATAAAACTATGTTATATATATTTTATGACTACTCAAAATTTTTTCTAAAATTCAAAAAATCACAAAGATCAGATGCTGCAAAGAGAAGCATTTGCAATGGCATGGCGTTCAAGCTAGTATAATACAGCAGGGTCAATATTATTGAGGTATTGAAATGCAGGATTAAAATATTTACACCAAGACAAAAGTGTCCAAATTGCAGGGTCGTTTATTATGCCGGCGACAACAGAGGTCTCACGTCTCTCCAACCTGTGGCCCCGGGTTCAGGGGGACCGGGGGGTTTTAAGCTGAAAAACCACATCCTGGATTTAGGACCAAGAGGGTGAGGGGATGCAGGGCAAGCAACTTTTCAGCACTTTCTGATAAGCAAAGGCAAGCACTTCTGGCAGTTACTGATAAGTAAAGGCAAGCAACTTTACAGAAGCCAAGGTCAGCAGTTATTGTGAGGAGAATGGGGCAGTCGTTACAACTTATTTTTGGAAAACAGCTTTGTCTTGTACAAAATGGCATTGCTCAAGTTCTAACTCTAAGTCAGCCATATCACATTATGAAGCTTCTGAAACCCCTAGGAAATTAAAATAAAATTAAGCTTCAAAGACATAAATTTCTTTCAAATAGTCTCTCTATTGGATTTTTAGGAAACCGAGTAACTGCTAAATGGCTGAGTAATCAGAAGGATTGCCCATATTTACAACTTTGAAGCTCGCTTATAAAATTTTCACTTTAAGCATTTGTCTGCCAAGATTCAACAGTGTGAAAATCTTACTTTCACATTAAAATCTCTTTTGTTCTTTGTATTTTGAAAATGTACCAACACGTTGAAGGATCTCATAGACTGGTTAACAAAACATTGACTATTCAAATCACTACCCTGGTATTATGCTATTTTCTTGATAAAGGTAACTGTACGGGTTACCTGTAAAAGCATTGTTTAAAAAAAAAAAACACGCATCCTAGAAAGGTAAAATAATTATAAAAACTAGGTGGGTTAGATAAATGAGAAAATGATTTAAAATGCACACAAACAGATTTACTTCCCTTAAGGTAGTAGTAATATTTATAAGGGGGGAGCAACTATCCAGATTTTTTTTCTTTCTTAAAAGTAAGGTTTTAACTTCCTTTTTGTTGTACAGGCAGTTACTAAGTAGGATAGTGTCATCTTCATAATTGCAAATATGGAAAACACATTCTAGTTAATTATTTAAAAAATGACTTGCCAGTATTCAGAAGAACCAAAGAACAAACTTTGGAGGCTAGGAGAAATGCTAAAATAATATCCAATTCATTCTTGAATTTACTCCTGCCAGCTTATACCAGTTTATACCACCTCCCAGCCACTAAGTGACCCAGCAAGTCTTTCAGTTATCATACCTGATTGCAGTTAGATGTGGCTCTTCCTGTCATCCTTCTTAAGATGAATTCTGGAAATCCCCTCCTTGCTTACCTAAGTTGTATTTAGATCACAAGATGAACATAAGTGATTTATAGAACCTTTATACTGTACTAAGTCTTATAACTATGGAAGGCTGGTAGAGTAAATAATTTATATTATCAGTTTTGATGATAACAGATGCAGAATTGCCAAGACAAAAATGAAAATGCTGAGTACTGAAAAATAATAATAGATGTTCTCAATAGAAGTTAAGGCAGCAGACTACTTGAGAATTAAGGTTCAGTTACTAGCTTGCTGCGTGATCCTAACTAAATGACCAGAATAGCCTTACTGTTCCACTCAATTCCACTAAACTTTGTACAGCATTTTCCCTTACTGCAGGCCTCTGACACCCCTTTTCTTTGAGTATTTACTTTATAAAACTTGCAACTATAAATTACTTTTCTGTCCCTTTGAGATGTAATTATTCTTCTAGTCTTTTGCCAGTTTCATAACAAAGAAATGTCTTTCTCAAGGAACTCAGAAGCATCCCTTTGTAATGTAATCATTAAGAACATTAACCTCTTTCTCCCAGTGTCGGTGGAAGAGTAGGAGCCTAAATACCAATTAGCAGATACAGATGTCCTGAACACACTGACCAACCTTTCCCCTAAACTACCCAATACTTCTGCACTAGCTCATACCAGCACTGTAAAAAGTCCCCACCTTTTTTTTGTTGTTGGAGCTGAATTATCTCTCTCTCCCCTATTGCAATAATAGTCTTGATCTGTATTGCAGTAGTTTCAAATGTTTCTTTCCTGTGTAACTCTGTCTAGAGCAATTTTTTCTTAACACAAATGTTTAAAATATGGATAATTCGGTAGATACATAAAGATGTAAATAACCATAATATGGATGATACATGTACATACACACATATGTACACACATATATACTACATAATGTGTGTATATATGTAAATATATTGTTAAAATATATTTTTTTGAAAAGATACAATCATAACTTACAGATATAAAAATAAACCCTGTTAAAACTTGTTTTATCAAATGACAAATAAGAACTAGACATATGTTTTAAGTGGTTAAAAAAAGTCGAGATCACAAATTTATGAGTAAAAATATTAAATGAATTACTATGGAGATAAAACTGACTTTTGGGAATCCCAAGTTACTTAAATCTTTAACAGGACAGAATTTACATATCTTATCTTTCAGTTACCAAGACTTATAAAAAGTTGCACAATAACTCAAAGATTAGGGTAGGATTAGAAACTGATAACCTGGAAAGCTACATTATGACAATACATAGTTTACTATTGAAATGTAGTGTTTTGTTGTTGTTGTTGTTGTTTTTACAATGCACAATATACAATGTGCTTGTTCACACACACGTGTATGTGTGCTGTAAACCAAAATGTATCTAAGACAAGTTTCATTCAATTTGGAAAGTTTGTTTTGCCAAAGTTAAGAATGTGCCCATAAAATGGCCTCAGGAGGTCCTGATGATATATGCCCAAAGTGATCAGGGCACAGCTTGGTTTTATACATTTTAGGGAGACGTTACACATCAATCAATATATGTAGCATGTATATTGGCTCGATCCAGAAAGGTGGGACTACTTGAAGTGGGGAATGTCTTCCAGATCATGAGTAGATAAAAGACAGTCAAGTGTTTGAGGTTTCTGATTAGCCTTTTACGAATACACAATTTACAGGAATAGTTACTTATGCCTTAGTCTGGCTTACTGAAACAATAGGGGAAAGGAAGCAATCAGATATGCATTTGTCTCACATGAACAGAGGAATGACTTTGAGTTCTACCTGTCTTTTGTATAAAAGGAATTACTTGTGAGCAAATTGTGAGGGAGGTATGTAACTTTTTTGTCTTATTCAGGAATTACATGGGAGGCAGGTTTGCCCAAGGCTATTTTCAGCCTAACTTTTCCCTTTGGCTTAGTAATTTTGGGGTCCCAAGATTTTTTTCCCCACATTTCTCCCCTTTTCTTTTTAAAATCTTTCAAAGAAGGCATTTTAGAAGAAAACAAGTCTCTAGTCTCAGGTTTAGTCTGATCTCTCATGGCTAGGATGGTTTATTTCTAGGCAGGTAGGTCGCACATTATAAGGAAAGCTCATTTTTAGCGTGATTGTGAAGTCTCACATGCTACAAAGAGAAAATGGGGAAAGGAATGAGGAAAGGAGAAAAACAACAATAAACAAACAAACAAACAAAACACCCTGGAAGTTCATACATCTGTAGGCAGGTATGAAAGTGTTTTATGTATTATATAGGTTACTGTTATTTTCTTCTGTTTAAGTTGTCTAACTTCAGCTCAAAGGGCTTTAAGAAAGCACAGCTTAATTTTTAGTGATTTAAAATCAGGAGAAATGGGGGAAAAGGGAAGTAATAAAGAAAAAAATTAAAAATATTATTTTGGAGACTTGTAGCAAGGAAGAATTTTAGACTTCAGTCCAAACTGTAGAAAATAATAAAAACTGGAAAACATTAGACAAGGCTAGAATCTAATAACAAGGTTACTATACTTTATTTTGAAACATATTTTTTCTCTCTTATCGCTCTGTTTTCACTAAAGACAAATAATAGGGCAAATTTATTTGCAAAATAAGTTTTAGTCTTATTATACTTTTCCAGAGTATTTGCATCAAGTTGTCAACAATAATTATTTGCCATATAGGCTCCTGTCTTACAAAACAAGGGATAAGAAACAAACAAACAAAAAACTAAGAAAAAAAAAATGAAAAAAATAGAACAAAAAAAAGGGATAAGAAAAGAGAAAAAACAGAGCTTAAGGGCTTTGCTGAAACTTTATTCCATAAGGAATATCAGATTCTACTTTAATGACTTAGGCCCAGCCTTTGCCTGCAAATACCTGTATTTATTGAGTGAATTCCTCATCTCGAGGTCCCAAGAAAACTTGGGGCTCCTGGGCCTATAAGAAAGTGACAGTCTTTATTTGCCACTGGTCACTAACCTGCACTGGGACTGTACACACAAAGGTATGAGGCCAACTTTCCTATGGGACTTTTATTGGCTCTATAAGTCATCTTTGATTATTTAAAGGAGTTTGTACCTGAAAGCATGCCATTCCAGTCAAAACTTAGGTAAAATAACCAGTTTATCTAACTGTGTCCTGTTATAAAAGAAAAAAGACTTTTTCTGCATTTGTGCAAATGACTATATTGCCATAAGAAGAATATTTACAACTAATTTCCAAATATTGGAGAAATCAGATAGAGAGAAATATGCTCCTAATTTTGTTTATAAGACTACACTTTACTCAATTGCTGAAAGCTGTAAATAAAGTTTTATTGTCTCTTGAAAACAAAGGATCAGCATAATTTGAAGCAAAAAGTCATAAAAGAATTATTTCAGCCTTCTATTAATTGAGTCCATCCAGTTAGTTAACTCCTGTTCTTCTTGATATTCATGAACATTTTAGCTCTCCATCAGAGTCTTGGAAGATTTTTCTCTATTCTGGTGTCACAATCTCCAAAGTTATTGGAAACCTGGATTCAAGAGCACCTGTTCATGTCTTTATCTGCTTTTATAAAATCTCCTTTTGAAAAGGAGACAAGTAAAACAACTGTGGATGAGAAGTCTTCGTCATAGTTAAAGACACAGTGGACAGTGAAATTTGATTACTTCTATAACATACAACAATTTTAGATAATTATTACTACTACTGATGACATATGCTAAGATATATCAGCATCACAGATATTTCATAAAATTCTGAAACATAATAATAACACATTTATATAAATTTAATGCAAAGAAAGTTAAAGACTGAATCATATTTGACAATACTTTCTGTATGATTTCATTATATCAAATAAGCCAAATATGTCTCTTTTGGACTTCAAGTTACTAATATCAAAAAATTAATGAGAACTGAAGTTAGAATTTGATTTTGGAAAGTCTGTAAAATATAAAGAATTTAAAATACTGGATATTAAAAAATAAAATTATAAGCCATTGTAAAATACGTCATTCGTTTATCTAAAGTAATAACTAATATTTCAAAAAATAAGATATTTTGTACTTTGTATTGCTTATGCCTATGTCCTGAATGGTTTTGCCTAGGTTTTCTTCTCGGGTTTTTATGGCATTAG